AGGTCTCACCAAGTTGTCCAGGCTGGTCTTGAACCCCTGAGCTCAGGCAATCCTCTCGCCTCTGCCTCCCAAAGTGCTGAGATTACAGGTGTAAGCCAGTGTACCTGGCAATATTTTAAATTTTTTGTAGAGTCAGGCACAGTGGCTCATGCCTGTAGCCAGCCGTTTGGAAGGCAGAGGTGAGAGGACTGCCTGAGTCCAGATTCAAGACCAACATGGGCAACGTGGCGAGACCTCATCTCTACAATAAATCAAAAAATTAGCCAGGTGTCGTGGCACATGTCTCTAGTTCCAGCTACTTGGAAGGTTGAAGCAGAAGGATCACCTAAACCTAGTAGGTTGAGGCTGTGGTGGCCGTGAGTGTGCCACCGCACTCCTGCCTGGGTGACAGAGTGAGACTCCAACTCAAAAAAAAAGAATTTTCTGTAGAGACCAATTCTCACTATGTTGCCTAGGCTGGTCTTGGGTTCCTGAACTGAAACAATCCTCTCACCTCGGCCTCCCAAAGTGCTGGGATTACAGGCCGGGCACCACACCCAAAAGCCTAATTTTTCTCATCTGTTTAATGGGAATTGCAAAGGAAGGGTTGAAGATTCAGCACAAGGCATGTGTCCACCCGACCTGAAACACTGTAAGCCTTTGATTACCAACATCTACAGTTACTAAGTTTATGATCAGGTTTCTCTTCTTGTGGACTGTCAACCCCGAGTTGGGCTCTGCTCCAAGACCTGCCAGTTTTATGACAGAACCAGCTGGAGCCGGTCTGAGGCGTATCCAACCCCCACTCCACCGGATGTGGTTGGGATTCTGGGCTGCCCTCCATAAGGCAGCCCGGAGGGCCCTGAGTTCCAGCTGGAGGCAAATGTGGACTTCCAGGAGGGACACCAAGGAACACTCTCCTCTTAGACAGAGGCATGTATTTGTGATTCTACCTGGCTCACTCCTATTCATCCTTCATGTCTCTGCTCATTTAGCCCCTTCCTCCCGACGCTCTTTTGGACTCCCTGGGCTGGTTCGGTGGCCTCCTCTGGACTCCCACGGCGCTCTAGGCTTCCTCGGTCCAAGCCTTATCACTCTGCCCGGGGCTTCCTCATGACAGCCCCATCACTCTGGGCTGTCTCTCTCCTGACGCGTCAGCCTCCCCATTAGACCAAGGGCCCTGTGAGGGCATGGCCCAGGGCTGTCTTGGTCATCGCTGTGTCCCAGTCTTACCCAGCAAAGGGTAGGGCGCAATGCGGGCGCTGAGCTAAGATTTGGAGGATAACTAAGGATCCCCAGGCTGTCCACAGGGGAACGGGGAACACCTGGCCCTACGGCGCGGTGTCTGGGGTTCCCACTCCAGGGCGCGCGACTTGATGAATGGGGCCAGAATCATTTTGCCCCATGCGCCCTCAGTCGTGCGGCCTGGCGCAGAGCACAACCTTAGCGGCCGGGCGCAATGGCCCTGAGAAGTTGGGGCTCGAGTCTTCGGTCTTTGAGTGGGGAGTCCCGATTCCCACGGGCAACCGGACTCCCAGGAAGAAGAAGAGAAGAAAGGCATAGAAGGGGGAGAAGAATGCGTCTCCCTCCCCTGCTGTTGGTCTCCTGGGTCTGGGCGCACGGGGCTCCACCCGCTCGGCACGGACACCTGGCGCTGGGGCGTGCCTCAGTTTCCCGGAGGCGGGGCGACCCTTCACCCCCGCTCCTCCCCTCCTTCCTCTTCCTCTTGGGGCGTCTGCGGCCGCGCCTCGAGCTCTCCCGGAACCGAAACTAGGTGCCGG